GGGGGTGGGGGGAGGACCAGGGAGGATGATTCAACCACTCAACCACTAGATGTCGCTGAAAACATCAAATCCTACACACTGTGCCTTTAAACTGAATTAGTTCTTAAATTAAACATAAAAAAGAACTAAAGTGACATAATTGACTGAAAATAGGTCCAATTTTCTGGTCTCAGATTTGCAGAGTTCCTGTGTGCTTAAACACCAAGCTGTTTGTACGGCGCTCCATCGCCCTGCTTGTTCCTTAAAGTGCCTGTGACGTCAAATTTTTGTAATACATATGAATGTATTTTTAAAAAGAGGACATTGATAAAATATATTGCAAAAGAATTTCATGTTGCTGAGATGAACAGTTGTTGAGATATTTGCCTGTGAAGTAACAGGAAGTGGTGTCAAAGGGGAATGTCTGCATGTGAGCAGTGTTGCTACAACAGCCAACAACACAGACTGTAGAGAAGAATCTGATGTTTCTTTAAATTATTTTGAGTCACAATTAGAAATGAAGAAGAGTCAGAGTTTAAATAATGTTTTTTAATAAATAAATACTGAGAGTTTTCTTTGTTAAAGAGTTCCCCTTTGATGTCACTTCCTGTTTCACTTTGGCTGAGCCAAGTTCAAAATAAAATATACCAGTTATGGGGCAAAATGGGTTAAATTGCATGCATTACTCTAACTTTCTTAAATATAAAGATTTTTTTTCTTTTTGTATTTGAAGAATATGCATGTCACAGGCACTTTAATATTTGATCTTGTCTCGTTTTTCTTTTTCTTTCATGCTTAGCAGCAGATTTATTCTCTTATCTCCACCTAAACATCACCTCTTCACTACAATTTATCATATTGTTTACCCAGAACTCGAGTGTGAGATTGCTAACCCGCACGGACAGGCGAGCTCACATTACACCTGCTTTAGCTTCCTTTCACTTGGCTCGCAGTTCATGTTTAGAATTCATTTTAAAATTCTAGTTTAGACTTTTAGAGCCTTGAATGAACAAGCTTCACCTTTTATCATCGTCTCGCAGGTTGACGTTAAGGTTTGCTGGCGGTAGCTCTCATCCATTTTAAATCTCGTGGTGATCAGTTGTCCCAAGTTGCACCCCGACTTTAGAATGCACTGCCCCGATCTTTACACAACCTTGATTCTAATGATGCTTAAAAAAACAACAGATGATCTTCTTTTACAAACCGGCTTTTAGTGAAGTTGTTAAATGTATTCTATAAGCTGTTTTACTTGGACTTTTTGCATTATGTAAGCTCTTTTAGCATGCTCTTTTTTCATGCTTTTATTGTGAACTATTCTGTGATTTTTTATCTATAAAATACGCTACATAAATAAACTTTACTGATGATCTGACTCAAGCGTCCACTTGTGTTTTAGGTAGACTCAACCAAGTTTGTTTACATTGAGTGTAGACCCGCAGTTTAGAAATGTATTCAGTAAATATAAAAAAAATTGGTGTAAACTCTTTCAACATTTTTTTAAATGTCCAATTTCATAATTTGTGATTACCAGTTTGAGTACAATCCATTAAAAATCAACCCTAAAAACTGTTTTCATCTCATTCCAGTCTACAAAGCTCGTTTTTGGGAGTGTGTGTGAGTCTGTGCAAATACTGTTAAAGGAGGTTGAGACACTCTGTGTACCCAGCACTTCTCACTGTCACTTTGGAATAAATAAGTGTTTGGCCTTCCTTTTGAGTCCAATGTTGACGCTCTTCAGCACCCGGCCGCTAACACGAAGACCAGCAGCCTAATCTTCCCACATTAACGGCTATACAGTCAACCCTCACAGGGATAATTAGATTAGAATCCATAATCTAGCTCACATTAGGGATGGATTATGGCGGGCTCAAATGCACCTTTTTTTTTTCCTCCCAAGTGAAATCGTAAAACAAAGGTTCAAGCAAATATATAGAAAACTAGGTTTTATAAAGTTCAGTAAGAGAAACCTTTGTTTTGTGTGAGTGTGTGGTGGTGGTGGTGGTGGTGGGGGATTGGTAGGAACTCACAAGTAGAGAAAACATATTGGCACCTGAAGTATTTCAGGTTACAAGAAACAGCTGTTCTCTGGTGGCCTTTCAACCCTCCTCTGGGTCAGAGGATCCCACAACATACACACAACCAGAAACCCTTTAAAACCATCTTTAAGGGCTCTGGAAACAACAACAACAACAACAACAACAAAAATAGTTTTTTAAAAAGCTGGGAAAGATTTTGTATCTCCAAACTCAAACCTCAGATTGAAGCAGTGGATTCTTCACACCCTTTAAAGCAGACAGGACAAAACTTGTGCTGCAGACCAGCTGGATGTTTCCACAAAACCACACACATACACACACATACACACACACACAAAAGTTTCATCAGATGAGAGAGTTGATTGGATAGAAATCTGGAAGTGGAGTTTAGAAATTAAATTGAAATAAGTATTTTGTTTTTCATATTTTTGGAGTTGCGAATCATAACCCAGAGAGATTTTTTTATGCCAACACAATTGCAACTTTTTTTCTGATTTCTAAAAAAGTGCAACGAAATCCAAGTTTTAAAGCACAAAAAGCAGCCAATCAACGACCAGTCGAGATGTGAAGAGATAAAAAGCCATCAGCAGTTCTTACCTCAGCTTAAAGAAGGGATATTCAGCATGAAACTCTTTGACGGGGTTCCCAAAGTCCAGAGGGTCTGAAAGTCTGTGAAAGTTTCCAGTAATCCCTGACTCTCTCTCTCTCTCTACTCTTTTTTTTTCTTCCTCTGAACTTTTCTGGCACAGTGAACCAGGCGAGTGAAGATGACTGAACTCTTCACAGAAACCGACGCACCGTCCTTCCTTCTTCCATACGTCTCGTTTGTTTTGGTTTTGTTGAACTCGTCAAAAGTGGCTTCATGCAGACGAACCCGAACCCCATGTTCGGCTCTGGAGTCCCGCAACAGCGCCTCGGAGCTGCGCAGCCGATGCGGGAATGCGCCCCCCCTCTTCCTCCCCCTCCTCTACCTCCCTTTCTCCACAGTCTGGGGACCACCCCGAAACAGGAAGTTCACTTTTTGTTTTTCTTTAAGAAAAAAAAAAAGGAGAGAAAAGAAAGAAAGAAAAGGACAACGCTGCTTTAAGTTTTCTCCTTAAAGTTGAAACATCTCCAGAAACACGTTTTAAAACTTTTCTCTGCTTTAAATCCAAACTGTGAGTTAAATAAAGACATTACAGCTCCCACGTGTTTCCAGCGGCACGGCTGCGTCTATATAAAGGAGGCTGTTATCTTGTAATTAGGGGAGGAAATCAATCTATAAATGTTTGTGTTTACTTCAACTGTGTGACTTCACTGCCTCGAAAGGACAGACGTGTGTGCGGTTCTGATTCTGGTTCTGTGGAGAGATGCTGCAGAGAAAACCCTCCACAAAACCAGGACTGGATTCCACAACTAGGACCAGAGCTCGTGCATGCATCCTTTGGATTTGTTGCGACTCGAGATACGTGTATGGCTCATGTCGTATCGCGAGATCTCGCGAGAGCTGCTTGTGTTCCAAGTATGTATGACTCTCAGCTACTGCTCCCAATGTTTGCTCAATATCTGTAAAGTTTGCAGAGGCATTCTGTGTTTATTGTTGTGTAGTATAATATAATTATTTTTATTATCAGTATTTTTAGTGGGTTAAAAAGTATTGAACACGTCGTCCTGATGCATCTCAGTAATCCAAGTAAAAAGGTTCTGGACGGGTTCTTCATTAGAGAAGAACCCGTCCAGAAGACCTATAGACCTATACAATTTTTTTTCTTTCTTATTGAACACATCAACATTTTTCTCAGTAAATATATTACTAGAGGTGCTAATGACATGAAATTTTCACCAGATGTCGGTAACAACTCAAGTGATCCATACATACAAAGAAATCAAACCATAAATGTCCAGAAATGAAGTTATTTGTAAAAATGTGGAATGGCACAGGGAAAAAGTATTGAAC